GAAGAGCGTGAGGTGATGGGAGGAGGGCGGTGCTCAGTTCTTCAGCTGGGACACTTCGTACAGGTACGCAGCCAGCATCTTGGTGCCTTCAATGTAGTTGTGCCTGACAGGGAGGAACAGTCACCACGCTGCCTGGTGTCCCGAGGGCTGGGCACACATGCTGCATTCCTCCCGGAAGCGGAAGTCCCACCGTCCCGGCGTGCTGGCCCTGAGTGCTGCTTGCCTTGGTTCTCAAGTCCAGTCCGACTGCCCCACCAGGGACCATCCCTGGTCCTGGTCTAACGGAACGCGTGGCTCTCACCCGGTACTTAGTGTGAAGGACCTTACTGGACCACAGCTGCTCCCTGTCTGTCTGGAGGTCTCCACCTTGTGTCCTAACACCCAGGGCTCTGTGGTCTCCCCCTGTCCTCCAAGCAGGGCCTTTCTTTGCCTCAGTCCCTGACTGGCCCACCCCAGTCACCCCAAGACGGCCCCTCTTTTCTGACCTCACCTGTTGAGCTTTTCATTCTGGGAGTGGGCTCCGTCATCTGCTGACCCAACGGGCAACAGCATGACATTCTTCCCCGTGGCCTCCTGAAATGTTAAAGTCACAGGAATACTGCCGCCTTCCCTGGTCAAGTCCGGCTCAACACCAAAAACTAAGGGCGAATGGAATAAAAGACACTGAGCTTTAGGGCTGCGAGGCCAGGGATCCGCCACAGATCTACTGGCCCATAACCCCAAGTCCAGATCAGCAGCCCCGCTCTCAAGGTTAGAGGTGGCACAGCCCAGCCCGCACAGAGACGGAGCCGACACAGCCACACGCCCACGATCCTATCAGCCCCCAAAGAGGACGTCTGACCTGTCTTCAGGGCTCTTCTCCCAGCCAAGTAATGAGGGTGGTTGAAGTCAGATACCCAGGGCTTCCCGCCGTGGCCCAGGTACACCTTGAACTTGTTGGGACTGTGCAGTTCAGCAAACTTCTTGGTCAAGTAGCTCGTAACCTGAAGCACAGGCAGGAGACACAGTGTCTTACAAGCCTGGCCTCTGATCTAGTGCCGGGGATCTACTCCACAGTAGTCTCTGGGGGCGAGTCCACAGTCGTCTACAACGGGTCTATAAGGGGTCTACAGTGAGTCTATGGGTCTACAATGAGTCTCATTTGCTGCTGCTAAACACTGATCTGCATAACTACGATAACAGAAAAAGGGATTTTATCATGAAACAAACTTCAGTTATTTAAGGTAAAAGGTAATGTTTTAATTTCAAGCAATTCACCCTTTACGTAGATATTCCCATATGATGTTAACATTTAAATCCCATATGATGATAACACTTAAATCAAGTTTAAAGAAAACGCCCCTTGCCTTGCTTTACAAAGATGATTACGTCTAAAGCAAAAACAGAGCCAGGTACTGACCCAGGGTCACCTCATGATGAGAAAATCTCAGTCCTTGGAGAGTGGCTTGGAGAGTGGCCCTCAGTTTCCCCTCCCAACAGGGAAGGTCTTGACTCCGTCTCTCCATGAAACCTCCTCAGGTGAGGACGAGGGACTGCTCCCCCGCAAGCCTGGCTGACTTTCAGATACCAGACGCTGCCCCACTCTGGATTCTCCCCCTCTGGAATCTGCCCCCCAATCCTGGACTCTCTTCCCCCTCTGCCGCTCACCAGGGACCAAAGGCCCGTGGACTCCCACTAGAACACATGCAGCCCGAAGTCAGCAACTGCCTTGAGCCTCCGGATGAGGTCAGAGATGAGATTTTAGCATGCCTCAGCAGTGACAGAAGCCACTCGCACAGGATGCCTTTTCATACAACCTTTACCTCTGATTAGCTCTGAACTGCTTATCCCAGCAATCGCTGAGCTGGCGAGAGCCGAGGACAGGGCTGCGCGGGCAGAGGCGCGCTCTCCTGCTGCCCAGAGCCCCGGCGGCAGGCGCTGCACGCACGGCACGCCCTCCCCGCGACCCCGCGCCCCACGTGCCTGCTCGCTGACCACGTCAGGAGTCATGTCTGGCACAAGCCTGATGGAGAACTTGCCGACCACCTTGCGAGGAATCACAGTCTTCGCACCCGACCCAGAGAAGGCACCTTCGATCCCGTGGAGGGAGAGGGACGGGTACCGCCACCTGTGCATCAGGATGTCTTTCTGCAGAAAAACGACAAAGTGGGTCGGAGACGACACCGCCTGCTCATGGAGGAGCCCGGCCGGCCTGGGGTCCGTCCACACACCGTCAGGAAGGCAGGAGCGACCCGGCAGCCGCTACAACAGCCCCCCAAGTGGGGGCCCTGTGCGTCCAGGACGGGCGCAAGCGTGTCCTCTCCGCGCCTCCCAGTGAGTCCACACCACCTGAGTCAACAGAACTGACCACACAGGAGCCACGGCGTTCTGGCTGGCCCCACGCATATGAGGGCTGTTGCAGAGCCAGGGGCACCAGGAGTGGGAGGGAGGGATGGGCGGGGTGGCCATCCTAGGTCCTAGGCTTATAGGACACCGAGGGTGGGGCGAGCTCCCCGAGGAGGGCAAGCCAGGCCGTGCACCACGTCCTAGGCCAGTGCCCACGGACAAGCCCGGCAGTTTCTGCCGTGGGGACTGGCACAAGGCAGCCCCCCATCTCGCGAGCGTCTACTTGACATGGCCCCTCTTATCCCAGCAGCGGTGGCACGGAACGTTATCAGGAGAGAACACGCCGCCGCCCGAACCCCTGGGCTTCCTCGGCAACTCAGCATGTAACTCTGGACGTGTCTGTTAACCAAAGAGCCCAGTGACAGCCGCAAGGAGCAGACACAGCCCTTAAGCAGGCACCTCACGCAAAAGCAAACGTTACCGGAAGGCAGCGGGACAGGAGGAAATACAAATGTGTCCATAGCCCAACCTTCCCCAGACTCGCCCTCCCCCGGGACTAGCCTCTCTTGGTCACGGCGTCAGGACCCGACCGACTACCACCCGCGAGGGACCTGTCTCGGCTCTGCCTGTGAAATCCGTACTCCACTCGGTCCTCTCCGATGTGTCCTGAGCCTGAGGGGTCCCCGGTCCCGCCTCCCTGTCCCCCAAGCGCCCCCTGCAGCCTCACGGCCCCCCAGCCCCAGTGCCTCAGCTCCTATGCTGCCACACCCCCTGCCCGCAGTCTTTCCCCAGCGAGGTCTCATCAGCGCGTCCCTCTACTCAACACCAGTCACACCACCGTCTTCCAGGACAGCGCACGAGCTCCTCGGCAGATCAGAGGCCTTTCCATCAGGCATCTTCACTCCGAACCCTGGGCCTCACTGGCCGCCCACAAGCGGGACAGCTGAGCCCTGCTCTGCCACTCAGCCCCGCCTGTCTCCTGCAGGCCCGGTGGCACTCCTGTCTAAGGAGGCCTCCCCCCTGCCCCCAGGCACCAGACCACCCCACGGTGGCCTCCGCACACCCCCTAAGCTTCTCTGCCCGTCTGTCACCTAGAGAGGTGACACTCAAGGGCCAAGCCCGGTTGTGCCCCTCCTGCATGCCCAGGGCCTGCCGCTGCGGCTCAACGAAAGCTTAGTTAACCACGTGAACTTACATTCACACCTTAGAAACCAGGAACTAAGCTAATTAAGAAAAAAGTCACAACATGATTTTCTCCTGACAGTTCAGTAAACGTTTTGTGCAAATGGTTTCCACCTCAGCACCCAGCTCCGTCGGGAACGGCTTAAATCATCTCTGGGCCGGGTGGTAAAGTGACTTCCCCGCGCGTGCAAATGAGGACAAGCCCCCGCCTCTCTGCAGACGTGCCCCAGCTCTGAGCTCTCCACAGTCGACATCTGACACGTTAAAGAGCTCCCAGCTCCCAGCCTGGCGCGGGGTGCCTTCCGGCGCCTGCACCGTCCGGCTGCTCCCGTGCCCGGGTGTGCCCGAGTCCGCCCAGCCCTCAGCCTCCTCCCCGGGGCCCCAGGACTGGGGACGCTGCCAGCCCAGTGGGGGCAGGCCTCGTGGTGCCCGGGCAGCACCTTGCAGTCATGCAGCAGGGTCTCCGTCCCCACATCCCGGGCGTACTCCTCCAGGTCGAAGTCGATCTTGTCGTAGAGCTCCAGCTCCTCGTCCGTCACGGAGGCCACTGCCTCGCTGATGCCGGGGACGAGGATCCTCCCCTTCTGGTCCATCAAGCAGCCTGGAGGAGCGGAGAGGACGGGCACTCGACGCGCACGCGCGCCTTAAGCCACTTTGCTGCCGTAACAGCCCAGGCAGGAGAGCGGGGTCACCTTCCGTGTGAGGTAAAGGGGTGCAGACGCGGAAGGTAGGTGAGCCGCCCACAGTCGCAGAGCAGGATACACACGGAGCAAACGGGCTCCCGCAGGCCTGCCCTGAAAGCCACGCCTCTGTCCATCGTGTCCTGTTTAAGGCACGTCCCACGAGAAACTACCTGCTCCCACACTGAGGACGGAAAACCGAGTGGGGCAGGGTAGACTCCAGTCCCAGCAAAGTCGACTCCATGCAGGGCAGCCGCCGCCCACCAGGGAAGGAAACAGGACTGAGCACACGGCGGGCTGAGGCCGTGCGCCGGGGGGACACAGGTCAAGGGAGCCGTGGCCTCGCTCTCAAAAGGGCTGAGTGCGCAGGAGGCCGCTGCGGCCAGTCACAGTGTCGACGAGACCGAGGCAGGCGCCCTCCAGGGACGTAAGACACAACGGCATCCAGAGGAAGCACGGCTGTGATGCCAGGTGACAGGGCAGGCGGGGTGGCCGAGTAGGGCCGCGGAGACGACGTGGGGGAGACGGGAGGCAGAAATGAAGCATGGGGGTCTTTTAAAGGGAACAGTCAGTTGCGGGGGGAGGGAGGGACAGAAGGCATGAAGCAGCCTGGAAGCAGTGCCCGCACCAACCTCCCGCCCAACTGCCACGCGGTGACGGAGCCCACGCTCACCCATCAGCATGATGAGGTCGGTCATGGCCTCGTGCACCGAGCCGCCGTACACGCCGGAGTGCAGGTCCCTGTTGCTGCATTCCACCTGCGGACACACGGCCACCGTGCCTGGCTGCTCACGGGAGCCCGTTCTTACCACGCGACAGTAAAGTGAGCAGAGAACATTCACACGACCATTTTCGAAATCAAAATCTGCTCCCTCAACAAGCAAAGCAAGGTGCTTCCTAAATGCCAGAACTCTGGCAACAACCAAAAAATCCTCTTGGAAACGCCAACCACAGGAGAAAGCGTGGGCACCCAGAGCCCTCCCAGCTGCTCCCCGCGCGACTCGGCACAGACCTCGATGAAGAAGTAGCAGATGCCCCGGAGCCCGTAGGTGATGCAGGGCTTGCTCTTCCCCAGCCAGTAGTTGTCGGAGATGCAGACGTAGTCCACATCCTTAAAGAACGCGTCCCTCTGGGCAAAGATCAGTGCGTCCAGGCCTTCGGAGCCAGACTCCTCCATGCCCTCCAGACAGAAGCGGACGTTGACGGGGACTTCCTGGGCAGGAGACCGGTGAAGGAAGGCACTCAGCGCTCACGGACTTAGAAGCTACAGCCAGGAAGCCACCCAATGTTGTGAAGTCACGAATTTCAAATAACCGACTTCCTCCAGACCAACCACTGGGCGGGCTGTGTGTGGCCCACAGAGACCCTCAGTCCCCAGGCACTGGGCCACCAGGGGACAAGCGTGGCTTCGGCCGGTCACCCTTAGAAGGACTCCTTCCAAGGAGCTCCCAGCCCAACCACATGTGCCACTCATCGGGGTCTCTGCGCTCACCCAGCATGAATCAGCGTCTCCAGCAAAGCTGAGCCGCTCTCTCTAAAACAAAGGCCACAACACAGACAGCCAGAGCCTTCATCTGCGTGGCGACCAGCAGTGCACGCAAGAGCGAGAGAGCGCTTCCCCCAGTTCAGAAGGCACTCCATGCACTGCAGGCCCTGCCACCTGGCTCCTGCTCGGTGGCCTTCCAGGTCTCCCCAAGGCTGTGCTGTGAGGCACGTGGCCCTCCCACAGGAGAGAACGTGAAGCCACACCTGAGCGAGGCGATGCCAAAGGCCACGGAAGGCTGGGCCTGTATGGACTCACATCTGCGGGGTCCTAGCTCAGAGATGCCCCCAGACAGTGCTGCTCACCACACGCACCGCCCCTCTGCCACTCCAGTGGAACGGGGGTGAGGGGAGGTGCGCTGGGCAGCTCTGCCCTGCACGTGGCCACCCCTCCACTCGGCCACGCGCTGATCCCAGGGGCCCTGGAGGAGAGGGGCCTTCCTGGCCCAAGCCCAGCTCCCTCGAACCCTTTTCAGATCTACCACCCCACGTCCCGACAAAAATGCTTGTCTCATCATTCTTATCGCAACACAAGATAAAAGCAAGATGCAGAAACTGCCTATATGTTATGATCACAATTAGATTAAAAAGAATTCTTGAAAAGATTGGTCAGTAACAAAATATTAAGTCTCTGAGGCCTGGATTCTAGGCACCTCTTTTTTCTCTCTACTTTTCTGTATTTTACAAACTTTCAACAAGGAGAGGATGTTTCACTTAAGGAAATATATTTTTAAAAATCAAATTTACTTTTAGGAGGATAAAAACCACACAGAGAAAGTAAGTGTTTGTCGGCTAGCACAGGGCCTGGGTCACACCCTGGCAAGCACCCACTTCCCAGGCGCGGTCAGAGCCCAGAACTCTCACCCGCCTGGGTCCCTGCTGAGTCACCAACAGGGTGACCTTGGGACAACTGTAAAACCACTGCACCTTCAATGTTTCCTCAAACTGGAAAACAACCTATAAACTGGAAGATGACCCAGCTGTGCTGATGCAGTTTGTGGGGGGAAGCCTGCTGTCTCCTGGCCCGTGCTCTTTGATCTTTACGGGCTGTTCTGGGAACAGAAAGTCCCACTCTGCACCCCCAGGTGGAGCAGGTGAATCGGGCGCTAGATGTGGGCACCGTACCTGACACGTTTTCTGGAAGGCTTCCAGGGCGTTCATCCAGCCGGCCACTGGCCCCTTATCATCGGTGGCTCCTCTCCCGTACAGTTTGCCTGGAACAGCAATCAGCAAGTTCATCAGGTGACGGTTGCAGCACACAGAAAGGAACACCTCTTGGTGAACATCTGACGACATCCCAGCGCGACCCCACGCAGCCGTCCTAAGCCTCTTCCTCGTGTCAGAAGCCCCATTTCCATTCTATCAGAAGCCCCGAGTCTCCACGCAACATGATTGTTAGGATCTTCCAGAGAACTCGCCCGATCTAAGAGCAGCGTGGGATTGCAGCCAAGGTCCCCGCCGCCTCAGGGCACAGGCTGCAAACCCAGCTCCGCGGGACCACTGCCACTTGGCTAGTGTGTTAAAATCTAGTCCACAGCCAGCCGGCAGCAGCGGGTGAGGGAAACCTGGCTGGATGCAGGTGCACCGACCAAGGAGAACCACAGTCTCACCCACACCACAGCCCAGTTTGATGAAGAACAGAACTGAGGTTCGTCACATACCTCTCCAGGTTATCACTAAAAGACAGGATGTTGCCCCTCCCCAGTGTAACCAGTCACCTCCCCTCTGCATAGCCACCTCTGGGACCCCCGTACAAAGGCGGGTGTCTGGGCTGGGCGTTGGCCACCTTGAAGGACATGAAGGAAACAAGCCCAGACCCCCCTCCCGGACCGGACTCAGCGTAAGGCCCGAGGGAGGCCAGGACCCCGGGCGCCGCGTGCTCAGGGGGCCCCTCCCAGCCTCAGTCTGTCCCAGTCGGTCCTCTGTCCTCCTCACCCTTAGCCTGTTTTCAACATTCGGCAGGTCAACCTGACCCACCCCAAAGCTGCGTGTGGGGCTTAAAGCCATCACTGCCTTGGGGATTTCTTTTTTAAACTAAATCTGCTTTGCACAAAAGCTAAAGAGCTCTTCTAAGACGCATCCTCGTCCCTGTGGCAAACACTGACTAAGCGACCCCAGGGAGCGGGGCTATGCGGGCCGAGGCGGACAGAGGCCGAGAGCACCCACCCCCGGCCTGGCAGGCCAGCAGCCATGCGTGGGCAGCTTCTCCAGGCTACGGGGCGCTCCAGGTTCTTCCATCCTGCGTGTCTGTGTGTCTGTCTGGGGGTGGGCTGTCAGGGAGGGGCTGAGCAGTAGGAGACCAGGGCTGGCACAGGAGGAGGCGGAATGAGGGGACAGAAGATGGGCCCACTGGGTCCCCCAAGAGGCACCACTGTGGGGCAGGGCGGGAGGTGGTGCAGGACCCGCCTCCACAGGCCAGGGGAGGGCCTTGCAAGCAGAAGAGAAGGGGCGGGACGAGGACGACCTGGGGCGGGTCGTGGTGCAGAGGGGAGGGGAGGAGCGGTGCCCCTGGGAGAGGGGGGAGGGGACAAGAAGAAGGACGGGGGCTGAGGCCCTGGACTGAGGACACGTTAGCAAGCGCACCCTAAGGACCGCTGTGCGCAGCAACGGCGTGACTGTCCCTGCCTGAGCCAGGGAAGCTCCAACAGAAACTCAGCGTGTCCCGCAAGAAAGGCTTTACTTAAAGACGGTCTGGACTCGGCCCAAGGGGACGAGGCACAAACGAAGGGGCTGCTCCATGTGGCGAAAGGCTGCATCCAGTGCGGAAACGTGAAGGTTCAGTGACGAAGGCAGGAGGAGCCTTTACCCAGGGCGGGTTGGGGGGCAGCGAGAAGAGGGGCCAGTGCAGGGGGCCATGAAGAGGTGCACGAGGTGCCCACGGGGCCCAGTCCGGGAGCCCTCGATGGCTTCACTGAGCCGTCACTGCCATCCTCACCAGGGCAGCAGGCATCGGGGAAAGGCCGACGCTTCCCTAAACCCTGACAGGAGCTGCTAAAATGTGCCACGGAAGCAGCTACGAATCGGATCAGATTTGGATCCCAGGTTTTGGGAGGCTGCACCGTCTCAATTCAGATTGGGCTTCCTGGGAAAGTGTCAGCAGGAGAGGGAAACCCAGCAGGCCCAAGGCCCGAGACCTGGTTCCGCAAAGAAAGGAAGGCTTTCAGAGGTTTCAAGGATGGATGCACACGCGTGAGGCTTCCAGAACCCAATTTCTAGATCGTGTACAAACACCCAGCTCTGGAAAGACAACCCAGAGGCCACGGGTGTACCTCCTAAGCAAGTGCCACAAGTCCTCTTCCTCGGGGAAGCGTCCCTACCGTCTCGCTCCACCAAGGTGAAGGGCTCGCTGTCCCAGCCGTCCTCCAGGGCTGCCGGCTGCACATCCAGATGTCCATAAATGCACACCGTTTTCTTCTGCGGGTCAGAGCCCAGTGTGCCGAGTAAAATGGGCGGAAGTGGTATCTCCGAGCCATCAGGGAGCTGGGGGAGGAAGGAGGCCGTGGAGGACAGGCTTTGTTTGCGGGGGGGGGGCGTTGACAGCAGATGTTACCAACGTGCCCTGGACAATCTTATGTGTTCTTATCAACCACTTCTATTGCAGAGCTCAAGATCATACCGTTCAACCGAGTCATTAATTAACAAGAATACACTTCCCCATAATCTGGAGCACAGAGACTGGACTACAGCCATACCACCCCAAACACGCCCCATCTCATCAGAGCACAGAGAGTGAATTATGTTTACCAACTGCAGGTGGCTTGGTAAATTTTTTTTTTTTTTTTTTTTTTTTTTTTTTTTTTTGCG